TTCGCACAGTTTAGTAATCCGTTCGCTCAGTTTAGTAATCCGTGCTCACAGTTTAGTAATCCGTGCGCACAGTTTAGTATTCCGTGCTCACAGTTTAGTAATCCGTTCGCTCAGTTTAGTAATCCGTGCTCACAGTTTAGTAATCCATGCTCACAGTTTAGTAATCCATGCGCACAGTTTAGTAATCCATGCACTCAGTTTAGTAATCCGTGCGCACAGTTTAGTAATCTGTGCGCACAGTTTAGTAATCCGTGCGCACAGTTCAGTAATCTGTGCGCTCAGTTTAGTAATCCGTTCGCTCAGTTTAGTAATCCGTGCTCACAGTTTAGTAATCCGTGCGCACAGTTTAGTAATCCATGCGCACAGTTTAGTAATCCGTGCGCACAGTTTAGTAATCCATGCGCACAGTTTAGTAATCCTTGCGCACAGTTTAGTAATCCGTGCGCTCAGTTTAGTAATCCGTACGCACAGTTTAGTAATCTGTGTGCACAGTTTAGTAAGTTTAGTAATCCGTTCGCTCAGTTTAGTAATCCGTGCGCTCAGTTTAGTAATCCGTGCTCACAGTTTAGTAATCCGTGCGCACAGTTTAGTAATCCGTGCGCACAGTTTAGTAATCCGTGCGCACAGTTTAGTAATCCGTGCGCTCAGTTTAGTAATCCGTACGCACAGTTTAGTAATCCGTGTGCACAGTTTAGTAATCCATGCACTCAGTTTAGTAATCCGTGCGCACAGTTTAGTAATCTGTGCGCACAGTTTAGTAATCCGTGCGCACAGTTCAGTAATCTGTGCGCTCAGTTTAGTAATCCGTGCGCTCAGTTTAGTAATTCGTGCGCACAGTTTAGTAATCCGTTCGCTCAGTTTAGTAATCTGTGCGCTCAGTTTAGTAATCCGTGCGCACAGTTTAGTAATCTATGCGCTCAGTTTAGTAATCCGTGCACTAGTAATTCGTGCGCACAGTTTAGTAATCCGTGCGCACAGTTTAGTAATCCGTGCGCACAGTTTAGTAATCTGTGCGCTCAGTTTAGTAATCCGTGCACTCAGTTTAGTAATCCGTGCGCTCAGTTTAGTAATCCGTTCGCTCAGTTTAGCAATCCGTGCACACGGATTTCCAGCGGCTGTTTTTTTCTCCCACTGACCCCCGGCGGGCTCCGTAACAAATGACATATTTAACATAAAAAATATGCACCCTTACCTGCGCTGAGCTGTAGCCCTGCTGTAGATGGTGAGCCCCCCCTCATTTTTACTAAATAACCCCCTACCTGTGAAGCTTTTGACCCTCCTGAATAACCGTTCTGTCTGTAGCATGATGGACTCTAAACTGACATTTGACCTGGTGTTGTAGTACTTGAAACCGGTCTTGGTCTCAAGACCACTTTTTGATGGTCTTGTCTCGGACTCGACAGCATTTGTACTCGGTCATGTCTTGGTCGCGGACATTGAGGACTCGGAATTTTATTTCAAGACCAGTCGAGACCACAACTGTGGAAATATCACTAAATAGCCAGAWTRTTGTCCAATTAATTTGTTAACAATCTTGCTTTCATTGTATTTAAAACATACTGATTCAAATCCAAACCTGACTGGTTGCTATTTAAGTATTTTTGTTAGCGGCTGTCACCCATCTGCACCCCCTGTGACTCGCACACAGCACTCCCAGAAAGTGAACCGTGGTTCTCTGGGAGCGATAAAAGATGTCTTCAAAATCTAAGTAAAAAATTTGGCTACATTATTCTTAAATAATATCATTGTAAAACAACAACAACCAGGAGAAGTCGTACAACAACTTGTACATTCTGCAGTGCTTCACTTTCAGAGACGATGGGACAACTTTAAACTTTTACCGTCACTAACGTCAACAATCTGCCTCTGTAGCAAAATTCTTTCCTCTGCCCTCACACAAAGATTTTGTCAATATTAGCTCTACATATTAAGTTAGCTAAAGTTGG